ATTCCACTCACTGCAGTGGCTTTTCCAAACTTTTTCGTCATTCCTCAAACCTCCTGTGGCTGCCCTCCATCCTCCTGCTAAGAATCTTGCCTCATGTTTTACTGAAAAATTTGGAAAATTCTTCTCCCTTCTTTCTCATTTCACTTCACTCAGATGCCTTCTGCCACTATCTCCTCCTTTACCTATCTCACAAAAGGAGATGACCTTTCTCTTTGTCAAGGCTAAGCCCTCTGCATTCACAAGTGGTTACACCCCATCCCATTTGCTCCAGCAGATTGTTCTCCCATACCCTTCTTTCTTGCTAATCTTCAATCTCTCCCTGTCTACCGATTTCTTCCCTATTACCTACAAACATGCCTATGTCTCCCAGTCCTCAAAAAAAAAACCCTTGCTTAATCTCTCTATCCTAACTATTGTCTCTTATCTTTCTCCCCTTGTGAGGGTTGACCTATGCAGCCCATAGTCTATAGTTGGTATCTCTGCTTCCTTGCCTTTCACTCTCTTAACTCTTCAGGCTGGCTTCTGACCTCATCATTCAACTGAAATTACCCTCTTCAAAGTTATCAATGATTTCATCATGATATCTAATGACCTTTTCTCAATCCTCATCCTTTTTGACCTCTCTACAACTTTTGACACTGTTGATCGCTCAGGTCTCCTTACTATTCTCTTCTACGTTTTTGTGATACTCTTCTCTCCCCATTTTCCTCCTACCTATCAGATCTACTCCTTTTCAATCTTTTTTGTTGGATCTTTATCCAGGGCAAACTCACTAACTGTGGGTTCCCCCTCTCAAAAAGTTCATCCTTGGTCCTTTCACTTGGTGATTTCATTGGCTCCCATGGAGTCAATGATCATTTCAATGATGATGATTCTCAAATCTACTTCTAAGCCCTCTCCTTACCCCCAGCCTCACATCTCTACCTGCTGGACATCTCCAACTGGGTATCCCATAGACATCTTAAACTCAACATGTCTAAAATTGAACTCATCTCTCTTCCCCAAACCATCCCTTTTATAATTTTCCTATAATTGTCAAGGGCACCACAATCTTCCCTGTCATCCAGGTCACTCTCTCACTTCTCAACTTAGGTGTTTTCCTGGACTCCACTCTCTCACCTCTCAGACACAATCTGTTGCAAAGTCCTATCTCTGCCTTTGCTGCATGTCTCAGGTGGACCTCCTTCTCTATTCTGATACTGCTAACACCTTAATTCAGGTCCTCGTAACCTCATATCTGCAACTTTGCAAAAGCCTGCTGGTTAAGACTTCCTGCCTGAAGTCCATTCTACACCAGTCCATTCTACACCAAGCTGTCAAAATGAGCATCCTAAAGCCCAGGATTTGCCATGTCACACCCCACCCCACCCCTGTCAATAAGCTCCAGAGACACCCTATTACCTCTAGGATCAAATACAAGATTTTCTGTTTTTTAAAGCCTTCCATAGCCACATCCTTTGATCCCTTTCCATTCTTCTTACACTTTATCCCCTTTGGCGCACTCTGTGATCTGGTGACACTGGCCTCATTGCTTATTTTTTGAACATAACACTCCAACTCTTAACTCCATGCCTTTTCCCTGACTGTTCCCCACAGCTGTGTCTCCTAGCTTCCTTAAGTCTCAGCTAAAATTCCACCTTCCTCAAGTAGCCTTAATACTTGTGTCTTCCCTTTGAGAGTACCTTCAATATATCACATAAATGTATGGATATCTTTTGTACATAATTGTATGCTATTTCTTCCTTTAGACTGTGAGGTCTTTGAGCACAGGCTGTCCTTGCCTTTCTGTGTGTCTGTAGTGCCTAGTACAATGGGGCTTGGCTCACAGCAGGTGCTTAATAAGCTCTTGATCAAGGATAGCCCAACTATAGCCCAAGGGTCAAATCCTACAATAACCTGTTTCAGTACAGCACTGAGGTAAGACTATTTTTGATAGTTTTAAAACTTTGTTTTAAAATGTAAGTAATTTTAATAGTTATAAAACTTTATTTTAAAATGTAAAAGCCATCCTTAGTTGGAGGTCATACAAGACTCATGGGCCTTCATGTGCCAACCTCTGTGCTTGATGATAATGATTATGATGGATGGATGGTGATGATGATGATGATGATGATGATGATGAAGGAGAATGGATTGAAAGCAGGGTAGAACCCTTTGGTCCTATCTTCATGAAAGAAGTTGTTAGGTTATGGTGCTGTAAGAAATGATGTGTCACGAATACAGAGAAGCATGAAAAGATCTATGTGAACTGACACAGGATGAAGTAAGCACAGCCAAGAAAACAATATACATAATGACTCAAAAATGTAAATGAAAAGAACAGCCACACACACACACACACACACACACACACACACGCACACAATCAAAAGCGAATGTAATCAAATTGTAAAGATTAAACATTATTTGAATTAAGACATATGAGAAGAAAACCTCAAGCCATCACTTCTTGGAATTAGGAGGTCCACACTGCATATGTCTTTAAATTTTTTTCAATGTTGTGCTGATATTTTTCCTCTTTAAGAAATACTATTTGTTATATGAGATGTTATCTGAGAGAGGAAAGGGAGGGGAAAGGATTCTGGGTGTCACTCTGATGATGTACAAAACAGAAGACATCCATAAAAACCTTTTTTTCAAAAAGGGAGTTGTGAAGGCCTATACCAAGGCTATATGAGTAAAGAGAAGGAGAATGATGAAAGACTGGATAACTGACTCTATAAAAGGGTTAAGAGTGAAGAATCAAGTAACACTGAGGTTATAATCCTAAAATGTTTTGATCCTGAGTATTCTAGGGATGGCGTTGCCCTTTACAAAAGGGAGGGAGGGAAGAGATAGATTTTGGGCAAAAGATAATCCAGTGAGGATGCAGACTACAATCTACTGCCACATTGCAAGCATAACTGCTTTTCCCTTGAGATTCACTCCTCTGTTCCAATTGAAAAGGTGTATGGTGGAGCTCTTACTCCCTGATCATTGCCCTGAGAACATTCTAGCTAAAGGGTATCTGGAGGTAATAATAAAGAGTATCTTGAGTGGTGTGGCATATAGATATGCACCAGAGTGGGTATATATTCTGTGTGGTTCCAGTGAAGCTGCTAGTCCAGGGTCTCAGTTAAGGTTAAGCGAAAATGCCCTGAGAGGCCCAAATGGAGGCAAAAAAGGAAATAAGAAGTTTGCAAAGTTGGGGGAAAGGGCTAGAGTGGTATAATGTGGTTGTTAGAGACAAGTTAGGTATGGAGTTCAATTTGGATAAATAGGAAGGGTGGGATGTAGTCCATCTTTACACCTTCTGATACACAATACACCACTTGGGGTCATATTACGGCTCCACTTTGAAGACCAAATTACAGTGAACCAGAGGAGAAGTTTAGCCCAACCTACAGAAGAAGGGGAAATCAATTACTTAAAGCTAGAGAAAATGAAGAAGTAAACAAACAAATAGAGACTTTATGTAGTCAAAATGAGTTCCCCTCTCCCCACCACCAAAATCCTGCACCAAAATAATCAGATATGCATGGGGCCAAGGGGCAGCTAGATGGCTCAGTGGACAGTGCCAGGTCTGTCCTCAGACACTTACTAGCTATGTGACCCTGGGCAAGCTACTAAACCCTGTTTGCCTCAGTTTCCTAGTCTGTAAAATAAAAGGGAGAAGGAAATGGCAAACCCCTCTAGTGTCTTTGCCAAGAAAATCCCAAAAAGGGGTCATGAAGAGTCAGACATGACTGAAAAGGGCTGAACAACAACATTGGCCTAAGTGGATGGTGAACACTGACCTTGGTTCTGTAATTTACCTTTTTCCTCCCCGGCTGAGTCCTTGGAGGCTAAAATAGAGAAGATCTTGAGGCTCTTTGATCTCTTATGTCAGGCTTCTGAAGGGAAAGGCCTAACCTTAGTTTGGGGACTTTTTGCCTTTTTTTGGTTAGCTGAGTGTAATGATTCTGGCTTATATAGCTTTCAGCCTGTCTTTATTTGGTAGAAGTTCTAGTCACAATGTCCTATATACTAAAGCTGAGACCCTGAAGAGTTATGCTGAGATATACATTCCATTGTGGAGAACTTGTTGGGTCTGGCACTATCCTGAGTACCACTGGGCTGAGAGCATCAGAGACCAGCAAAGTTCCAGAGACCAGGCACAAGAGTCACCAGGAGACATTGGACAATACATGGTGAAGCCAGCGGGGACCAGCAGAGGAAGTAACTCATCTAAGACATTGCAACCAGGAAGGAGCAGGTCTAGTGAGATCAACTTAATATTATCAGAAACCAGCCACAGGGTTCTTGCAACATCAGAGGTGGGAGTTATCCCTGCAAACACCTATTGCCCCTATGTGTGCCCCTCATATGTGAACCTTATGTGTGTGTATTCCCTCCATTGACATATATCTGTATGAGAAAATGTACTATATGTTTAAGGGAAGAGTATTCCAATGTAATTCTTAGAATGTTATTTCCCTCAATGTCTTTGCAATTGGGTCCTTTAGTGAAAACTAGAGGAAAAATAAATATATCTATATGTCTCATGTACTATTGCTTTGAGTGGACACAAACTTACAGAGTATCTTGAAGCTTGGGGAGGGGTTCTTCATGTGAAGAAGAGAGTGCCTCACTTTAAAAGGAGATTAGGGATCAAAAGGGAAATAGATTTTTTGGGGAGAACTCCTGGGCATATATCCTAGGCTGAGAAAGGAAAGAAGACTGGACCTGAAAACCAAAGGAGCAGAGGGAGAAGGAGATGGAGAGAACTGGAAAGCCCCTATTTTAGGCTATACTCTAAATCTATTCTGTGTCCCTGAGATCGATTCATGTTGTCCAAAGACACCATCATCACTGCCTCACAAAATGGTAATAAAATAACTTTCGATAGGTTGTCTACTCTGCTGAAGATAAGTATTTTTTCCTAAAAAAGGGGAGTTCATATCTGTGACCCTGTGATGAAGGTAGGTATAACCCCAAAACCACACCAATAACTCAGCCCTTCAAACAAAGTGACATGGGACACATGTGGCCAAGCAGCAGCCTTTTAGTGGAGAATGAGACAGCGGCCAGAGCGGTGCTGTCCACAGTGATCTCTGATTTGCATAGGAGATTATCCGAAAATGAGTTATTTCCTCTTCCTCTCTCTCTCCCTCTCCCTGTCCAGGCTCCCCAGGGTAGCAGTCAGGGTGCTAGGCCTGAGGGGGCCCAGCAGCCTCTCAATAGCGGCATGGATGTCTCCGCTAGTGGCAATCAGTGCTTGCATGTTGGCATCATGGTTGGAGAAGCCCATTGCCTTCAGTTGGTCCAGTTCCTGCTGGAAGCGGCCCTCTGCTGGGGGTGGTGGCAGTAGTGGTGGCGGTGGGGTCTGAAGGGTATTGGGGTTCGCATGGGCCAAGGCCTGGAGGAGCTGCAGCACAGCTAGTGTGGGTTGCTGGGAGGACACTCGAGAGTTTGACCTACCAGCCACACCTCCCCCATGACTCCCATGGGGCCTTCCAGAACCCCGAAGGCAGGGTTCCAGCCCTGGAATTTCCACAGAGAGTGTCTGCAGGCCCTGCTCAATCTGTAGCCAAGCCTGTAGAGCCCGTGGATTAGTGAGGATAGGTAGCAGTGGCAGACGGGGCCTCAGAGGGCTACCGGCAGTGAGCTGGTGCAATAGGGTTGGGTTTTGATGCAGTACATGCAGAGCATTTCTCAGGGTAGATGCAGAGGGTATGGATGGGCCTGGCAGGGAGCCTTTGCCCATAGTTGGGGACACATCCTGTGATCCAGGTCCCAAACCCATGCACAGATTGGGCATACCAGAGCTATAGGGTGACGTAGGTTGTGTTGAGGCTCCCAGAACCTGGCCCTGCACCCCAGGCCACGTATTTCCCAGACGAAGAGGCCCCACTGAGGGAGAAGAACTAGAAGAACCAGACAAGGAAGCCGGGCCTTTGGCGCAGTGAGCTGAGGCCGGAACTGTGAGCATCAGCTGTTGGATATCAGCATAGACCTGTCGCAGAGCATTGTCGCCCCCAGGAACAGCCTTTAAAGCCCCCTGGCCTCTCTCATCTGCTCTTAGCATCAACAATTCCCTCAGCAGAGCAGGGCTCCTCAGGGCCTCAGGCACTGTCTCAGCAGCTTGGGCTGGTGGAGCAGTCTGTGGCTGAGCCACCAGCCGTCCGGGTCCAGTGCCAGGAGAAGGATCAGTGCTGGATGGCGTTTCACCCAGCAGACCTTGTGTGGAGGGATCATCCAGAAATTGCACCATAGCTTCAGGGACTGCCATGAGGAGCTGAGTCAGATGGCCAAGGAAGTCTGCCAGATCCGGGGAGCACTGGGCTATGCGGCCCAGCCTGGCCAGCAGACCAGCAGCCCCTGTGCTGTCTGAAGACCCGGGGCTGTTGCTACCTGGGAGAGGTTGATTTGAGGATGCAGGAGTGGCAGTTGTATGGCATGAGCAGGTGAATCCAGGAAAGCGGTTCCGCACCACCAGATAGACAGTGGTGCCATCGAGGACTCCCCTCTGGTTCAGTGTGTCCTGGTCTCGCAGGATCTTCCCTGTAAAGATAAGCACCAGACGATTCACATCACAGTTAAGACGTTTTGAGATCTGCTCTTTGAACTCCCTGATACTGCAGTTTTCTGCCAGGGTGAACTCCTGGCGCTCCTGCGGGGTCTTTGCTATTACTGTGATGATGCGCGGCGACTCCCGGCCTGCCACCAGCCTGCTGTCGCCTGCTTCCTCCCGGGCCCTCTCCATGCTTCAGTGACGTGACAGTGGGTCTGTCTGCCCAAGGCCTCGGGGTGTGGTGCCAGACACCGTGGGGGATGATGTGGAACGCTGTGCCTGCTGGGGTAGGGAGCAAGGTCGGCCTCGTAGAGAGACCCCTGCCCCCTGCTCTGTGCCTATCCCAACTCTCAGCTGGGTGCTCACCCCCGTGGCTGTATAACCCTGCAGTGACCTGGCTCCCCCTGTACCCAGGACTGCTCCCCATCAGCATCTGGACCGAGGCAGAGCTGGATCCTTTGCCCTGGCCTGCCCAGACCCTTAGGGAAGGCTCGGGGAATGTGAGCTCAGTAATGAGGTCACAATGAGGAGCTACAGCCATGAAGATGATGGGGGTTGGGCACCAGCTTCTAGAGAGATAGAGGGGGAAGCAGGACCAGGGTCAACCATAGGCAGAGTAGGGACCTGCTTTCATGCTGTGACTTAAAAGAGCCTTATGATGGACTCTTCATGACCACCAGCCTATCATGCTGCCTGAAATTCCATCATTAGGATCATCTTCCTATCTGTTATGTGTCACCATTTCTAAATCCCTCTTGAGAGGAAGAACACATTAGGCCAATATCATCCTGTCTATGCTATAAGAAGAATTGGGAGTTGTTTTCTGAAATGATCCAAGATCTTGACATAAGCTGAATGTAATATGGGATAAATAAATATAAAGCCCCACACTTGGGGTCAAAAATCAGGTGCACAAGTCCATAGTAGGGAGGAAGATTTATAAACAGTTCCTGTGAAAAACTATGGGAATGTTAACGGACCTAAGCTCAATTTACCAGTTAACAAAGTGACATAATCCCAAAAGCTAATGCAGGCACAAGATGTATCTGGAGTGTTATTATAGCCAGAATAAGAGTAGTTTGTCTTTCTAACACCTGGAATCATTGAATTCAGTTTGGGGTTCTGCATCTTAGTGAGTACCTCGACAAACTGGACTGCATCTTGAGGAGGGCAATCGGAATGGTGTGGGAACTGGCTGATGATTAGTTTCAGGGAAGAAAAAAACTCAAGAGGAGCGAAAGAAGGATTTGTTAAGTGGCTTCTATGTGCCAGGCACTGTGCTAAGCAAATACTTTACAAATATTATCTCATTTGATCCTCATAACAACCTTGGGAGGTAAGGTTGCTCTTATTATCTCCATTTTACGGTTAAGGACACTGAGGCAAACAGAGGTTAAGTGAGCTGTCTAGGGGCACGTGGCTAATAAGTGTCTGAAGCTGTATGTGAACGTGTGTTTCTCATTGCAGGCCCAGTGCTCCATCCACTGTGCCACTTAGCTAAGTTTAAAGGATTTGTCATTAATAGAAGAAGGGTTTAGACTTGTTCTGATGTGCCCCCAACTACGAATAGAACTAGAAATAAGGAGGTGGAAGTTGCAGAGACACGGGTTTAGGCTTCATATCCACGGACAAGACAACTTTTTCAAAATCTGTGATATCCAACAGTGAAATGGATTACTCTTCAATAATCACATAAGCTCATAGTTGGAAGGGACGTCACACAGATAATGAATACAAAAAGGGTAATGTAGGCATATACTGAAGGAAAAAGAACAATAATTGGTATATGTATGGTGCCCTAAAGATTTGAGGATGTTTTAGCGCAGTTGATCTTCCTGACCGATCTCTACCAAGCAGGTACCATCATTATTTGCCCCATTTTTACAAGAGGATGAAATTTTAGGCTTAATGTCAGGAACAACTGCCTAATAATTGTTGTTGTTTAGTCTTTTCAGTACATGTCATGACCCCATTTGAAGTTTTCTTGGCAAAGATACTGGAGTGGTTTCTCATTTCTTTCTTCAGCTCATTTTACAAATGAGGAAACTGAGGCAAATAGGCTCACACAGCCAGTAAATGTATGAGGCCAGATTTAAACCCAGGTCCTCCTGACTCCAGGGCTGGCTCTCTATCCACTGTACCTAATAATTAGAGCTGTTTAAAAGTAGAATGGGCTTGCCAGAGAGGTGGTGGGTTTCCCTTCCTCCAAAGTCTTCAAGCAGAGGCTGGATAGTCACCTGCCAGGTACGTTATGGTGGGAGATTCCTTTCATGTCTGGCTTAGACTGGATGGCTGCAGGGATCCCATCCAATTCCTACTTATATTCTGTGATTCTAAGAATCCCACCTCTGGGGGCAGCTAGGTGGCGCAGTGGATAGAGCACCAGCACTGAAGTCAGGAGGACTTGAGTTCAAATCTGGCCTCAGACCAAACACTTGATACTTACTAGCTGTGTGACCCTGGGCAAGCCACTTAACCCCAATAGCCTAGAAGAAGAAGAAGAAGAAGAAGAAGAAGAAGAAGAAGAAGAATCCCATCTCCAGTCTGCTACATTGCACTTAGTCCCTGTAAATTTATTTGAGATTGGCTATTGTGCCAATGAATTGGAGGACAGAAAGCAAAGAATAACCTTCCCTCACCTCTTCTAAGCATCACCTCATAAATTCTATCTTGTGTTACAAATTCTTACCTTTGTTGCATACATATGGTCATCAATAGTCTTCCCAGTGTTGAGACGACTTGCAATCATACGTGGCAGTCATAACCAGACACATATTCTAAATGAGAATCTAATGTGACTATGACCTCCCCAGCTAGTCCTGCCCCTGAAGACTCTCAATGCAGCCTAAGACTATACTTGCTGTTCTTGATTGTCAATCAACTAATCAATAAAAATTTATTAAGCACCTACTATAGACACTGTGCTAAATGCTGTCACACATATTATACCGTTGAATTGTATTGGGTTTATATGCCAATGTAATCTCCAGAAATTTTCCAGATGGATTTCTGACTAACTATACTTCTTTCATCTTAGATTTATAAAGTTGAGTTTTTGGATCCAAGAGTAAAACTTTATATTTATTCTTATTTAATTGCATTCCTATTAGATTTGGCCCAGTATTCCATCTTGTTCCTCTTTGAATCCTGATTCAGTCCTTCAGTATGTTGAATCATCAACAAGCATCTATTAAATGCCCACTAGGTGTCATGTACTGCACTAAATACTGAGGATGCCAAAAAAAAAAAAGAAGAGAAAAAGCACAAAAATCTCTTTTCTCAAAGAGACAGTCTAATTGGAGAGATGATACAAAAACACATGGGCAAATAAGGTGTGTCTGTGTACATATTTGTGTATATATGAGTTTGATAAATTGGAAATAGTCACAGAGGGAAGGGGGATTGGGGAAAATAATATGTTAGTAGTATCTCCAATCTTTGTGTCTTCTGAAAATGTTATAATCTTGGCATCTATGTCTCTGTCCAAGTTACCAATAAAAATAACATAGAACCAAGCACTGACCTCTGGGGCTACCACCAGCAAGCCTTCTTTCAAGCTGATAATGAATTGTTGATGGCTTCATTCCATTGTTCAACCAGTTCAAAAGTTAACTAACTATACTATCACCTAAACTGTATCTCTCCATCTTTTTTTCTACTAAAATAGAATGAGAATTTTTATTAACATTGTCAAAAAGGAAACAATGTCAGTCTGGCTTGACTTTTTCTAGATAATCTCATATTGGCTTTCTGTAACGACCATTAGCTTTTCTAGATGTCCACTAATCATCCATTTAATAATAGTTTCTACATTTTTGCCAGTAACCAAAGTCAAGTTCACCATGTGTGTATGTATAATATGTATTTATTATGTTACACAAATTATTATATTACACATCAAATTATATGATATATAATAATTTGTATATTATATACACATACATACACATATGGAAGAATGCAGAATTCTTGAAAGAAATTATTATATCCTCGTTTTTTCCTACCTATCTGACCACTACTTCTGGGTATCCTTATGTTGTATCCTCATGTAGATCATACCTTTTAACCTTTTCTGTCCTGCGGCCTCTTCTCTTTTCCTTCTCTACTACTTCACTTGGTGATTTATCAGCTCCCACAGATTTAATTGCCATCTCTATGCTGCTGATTCTCAAATCTATATATCCTGCCCCAAACTCCCTGCAGACCTGCAATCTCACACCTCCAACTTTCAGATATCTCGAACTGGATGTCCAGTTAAACACAACATGTCCAAAACAGAATTAACCATCTTTCCTCCTAAATCTTTCCCCCTCCCCTTCCTACCTTCCAGTAGTGGGCAATAGAGAGTAACACTATCTTCCCAGACTCTCAGACTCACAACATAGGGGTAATCCTTGCCTCTTTGCTACCCCATACCCAGTGTGTTGCTAGGGCCCATGGTCTGCACTGTGGCAGCATATCTGAAATACTCCCCCTTCTCTCCTCTGACATTTCCACCACCCTAGTTCAGACCCTTATCTCCTCATGCCTGTACTACTGCAATAGCTTGTTGGTGGGTCTTCTTGCCTCAAGTTTCTACTCCAATCCATTCTCCATTTAGCCAACAAATTGATTTTCCTGAAGTGCAGATCTGACCATGTCCTCCCCCAACCCCTCTACTCAATAAACTCCAGTGACTCTCTATTGTTTCCAGGATCAAATACAAAATGCTCTGTTTGGAATTCCAAGCCCTTCATAACCCAGCTTCCACCTACGTTTTCATTCTTCTTGCACTTTGCTCCTTTCCATACACTCTTCAATCCAATAATACTGGCCTCCTGGCTCTTCCATCTCTCAAGACACTCCATCTCTCAGTTCTGGACATTTTCTTTGGCTGTCCCCCATGTCTGGAACGTTCTTCCTCCTCACCTTCACCTACTGATTTCTCTGGCTTCAATTAAGTCTCAACTAAAATCTCATCTTTTACAGAAATCCTTTCCCAACCCTTCTTAATTCTAATGCCTTCCTTCTCTTAATTTCTTATTTGTCCTGTTTATAAGTTGTTTTGTATGTATTTTATTTGCATGTTGTGTCCTCTATTAGATTGTAAGCTTCTTGATGGCAAGGGCTGTCTTTTGCCTCTTCTTCTATCCCCAAAATTTAGAATAGTGCCTGATACATAGTAGATGATTCATAAATAAATGTTTATTGATTGATTGATGAATGAATGTATAAATGAAAAGGCATTTAAGCACCTACTATGTACCTAGTACTGTACTAGGCACTGAGGCTATAAATACAAATAAATACAATTGGTCTTATTCTCAAGGAGCTTACATTTTAATAGAAGGACAGCAAGTTGAGGGAAATAGTGGCCTGAGAAGGAAGTCTTGAACAAGAGAATCACAGTGATTGTGAGAAGAATCATAGAGCAGTCTATTGGCATGGTCTTTCAAAAGGTAATGGTACTGATTTAGTTGTTGTTTCTGAAACAAGAGATAACAAGGAGGAGGAGGGGATAGGAAACTGGGGGACTTAGGGTATGGGGCAAATGGCAGGATTCTTGAGTAGCCTGGGCAAGATTGGCAAGTATTAGTGAAAATTAGAGGATGAATAGAAGGTTGTAAACTTTTGTGACTAGAAAGATGTTGATGTCCTCAACGTAAAAAGGGAAAGACATAGGAAGGAAGACGATGAGTTCCATTGTGGACATGTTGTGATTGAGATACCTACAGGATTAGATGGTTTTCAGCAGGTATTTGCTGATATAGGTCTGGAGGTTAGGAAAATGATTAGGGCTAGCTATACTGGTAGGGGAGTGACCTGCATAGATATTGTAACCTAATTTATGGAAAATGAGATCTTCAAAAAACGGTATAAAAAGAGAAAAGAGGATGACTTAGGACAGACATTAGGGAACCCCTAATGTTTAAGGGGTGGGACATGGATAATGATCCAGAAAAAGAGCCTAAGAAGCAAAAGAAGATAGGTGGGAAGAGAATCAGGAGAGTGAAGTGTCATGAAAGCTGAGGGAGGAGAGAGTATGCCAGAGGAAAGAGTGGTGTGTAGAGCTGCAGAGAAGTCAAGAAAGATGAGGACTTACTATTCTTCCTCACCTCTAACTTTTAGTTTCCCTGGTTTCCTTAAAGAAGTTTTGCCTTCTTTGGAATTGACATTAGCTTGACTTTTTCTGAAATTACCTTTCATCTAACCTGTATATATCTTGCATGTACCAAATTGTTTATGTGTTTTCTCCTTCGTTAGAATGTTTGTTTCTTGAGGATGGGGACTGTTTTGAAGGCATGGAAAGTCAAGTTAAAGTTGTTTTAGGATGGGAAAACCTGGAGATGCCTGTAGTCAACATAGAAGGAACCTACAGTTAAAGAGAGATTGAAGATAAGAAAATGAAGTGTAATGATAAAAAGGGTAAGAGGTGGGAGTGAATGGGATCAAGGGTAGCCATAAAGGGCTTGGCCTTAACAAGGAAAAGAGGAATCTCAGGGACACAGTGAAGGAGGTTTGGTGGGTGATATTTTGAAGTCTCTAATGGGGAAAAGAGGGTGTTCATGAAGGATAGCTTTTATTTGCTCAGTAAAACAGGAAGTAAAATCCTCAGATGAGAAGGGGAAGGGAAAAAGTGAATATAGGAAGCTGAAGGAGAGAAAGAGGTTTGGAATAGTCACTGGAGGAAGTTGGATAGATAATAAATCAAGGAAGAATAAAAAGATTACCATGAAGCAATGAAAGGGAATTTACATTATACAAATTTGGCAGCTAGATGGCACAGTGGATAGAATGTGGGGCATGGAGTCAAGAAGACCAGAGTTCAAATCCAGCTTCAGGCACTTACTAGCTGTGTGACCCTAGGCAAGTCACAACCTTGTATGTCTCAGTTTCCTCTTCTGTAAAATGATCTGGAGAAGGACATGGCAAACTGCTCTAGTATCTTTGCTAAGAAACCACAAATGGAGTCACGAAGAGTTGAAAAATGTCTGAACAACAACAAATTTGCAGCAGAGATAGCACAACTGTACAACTTCTTATAATTACATTGTCAAAAATACTAATATCTCATCAACTTTGATATTTAAAAGATTTGTATCATATAACAGAGGGAAGCAAAGACATAGAATGGCAGGTTGAATACAAAAACACGGTACATCCTGTAAAAATAGCTTCAGTGAATGTAAAGATTAGAATAGGTCTCAACTGTTGTCGAAGTCTCAGGTCAATAAAAGGGCATTTTAAATGACAACATTTTAAAGATCAAAGATCAAAGAAGGAATTGACTTGAAATGAATAGGTCTGTTAGAACATATAAATAGATAATAGCCAATTGGCTTACTTTTTTCTGCCAAAAGGAATGATTTTTGAATTAGGAAGAATATTATAATAATGAATAATTGAGAGTTTGTTCATAACCTAGATAAGCAAGCCTATGGTAAGAGAAAACCTTGTTCTCTTTGTGAGTTAAGAATGTTTATCCTCCAAGTACAGGTTGAATTGATGGTCCACTGTCAATCAACAAGAATTTACTGCGTGCCTGGCACTGTGCTGGTGATACAAAAAAATAAAAATAAAAAAGGCAAAAAGACCTTGTCCCTGCTCAGTGTAATGGGAGATACAACATATAAATAATACATATATGATATATACATAACAAATGGAAGGTAATCTCAGAGAAAGGTGGTGGTGGTGAGATCTGGGATGGCATAGCAGAAGGTAGAATTTGAGCTTTATAGTGAAGGAAACCAGGCAATAGTTCAGACTGCAAAGTTGTACCATGAGCTCAGTTGTGATTCTTGTCAAAAAATTATGGGATAAGGACTAAAGCTGTGATTTCATTGTTCTAGTGAACACCCTCTCAACCAAGACAAATCAAGGCTTTCTCTGCAATGTATACAGTCTTAGAGAGTTGCCTAAAGCACTGAGAGATTAAATGATTTGTTCAGGGTCCCCCAGCCAGTATTTCTGAGATAGGACTTGAATGCATCTATTCAGCTCCAAAGCCCAGCTGTTGGTCCATTTGCTTGACAACAATTTCAGACCTCATTATCAAAGGAACAGTTTGTGAGCATTTAGATAAGGACAAATGGTGGTCACTAAGAGCTTGCATGATACCTTTTGATCTAGGAATCTACTAAGTCTGTAATACAAAAGAGACAAAAACATCAAAAAGGAAAAGAACCTATATATACAAAAATATCTACAATAGCTCTTTTCTGGTGGAAAAGAATTGGAAATTGAGGGGATGCCCATCAATTGGGGAATGGCTGAACAAGTTGTGACACATGAAATGGAATACTATTGTGCTATAATGAACTGATTCTGAGTGAATGAACAGAACCAAGATAGATTGTATGTGGTAACAATATTTTAAAATGATCACTGTGAGTGATTTAGCTATTTTCATCAATATAATGATCCAAGACAACTCTGAAGGACTTATGGTGAAAAATGCTATCCATCTCCAGAGAAAGAACTGATGGAGTTTGAATACAGATTGAAACATATTTCTTTTTAACTTTTCTCTTGTGTTTTTTTTTGTTCTACATTTTCTTTTATGGCCTGACTAATATGGAAATATGTTTTGCATGACTACATATGTATGACCTATGTCAAAAGGTTTGTCTTTTCAGTGAGGGAAATAGGGAGGGAGGCAGAGAATTTGGAACTCAAAATTTTAACGACAAATGTTAAAAATTGTTTTTATGTTTAATTGGGGAAAATAAAATAAACTAAATAACTTAAGCATAAAAAAGAGCTTCCATGACTTGCTTAAGAGCTTGTCCTGCCAAAGTAACCTTAGTTTCTTTCTTAGTTGGTAGATCAGGGGGTGTGGGAGGCATAGAATATGTAGATTTCAGCAAAACATTTGACAAAAGTCTTATATCAATGTGGACAAGATGGAGAGATGTGGGCTTTGAGTGGCATTATTTAATTTAAAACCAGATAAATTACTAGACCAAAAGAGTAGTTGACATTAACTTGGGGTTGATATTATCTCGGAAAAGAAAGGGCAGTGAATAGCATTTATTAAGCATCTTCTGTGCACCAGTACTGTGAAGATCACCCCACTCATTGACAGCACTTTGTTTTTTGGCTAGGCAAAGGGGTTAAGTGACTTGCTCATGGTCACACAGCTAGTAAGTGTCAAGTTTCTGAGGCCAGATTTGAACTCAGGTCCTTCTGACTCCAGGGCCGGTGCTCTATTCACTGCAACACCTAGCTGCCCCTGGTTCAGCACTTTTATCAGTGGTCTCAGTGAAAGCATCAGATGCTTCACTCGTCAATATTGCACATAATACAGGAGAAATAGCTAACATGTTAATGACAGAACTGGTATTACAAAAGACCTGAAAATACTAGAACCAAGGACATAATCTAGTAGGAAAAGAGGAAATATAATAAAGATTCTGTTTGAAATGAAATAAGGATATGTGCAAAAACCCTCCACTTAGATTCAAATAATTAACTGTAAAAGTACAGAATGTTAGAGACATGGCTAGATGTGAAAAACTAGATGCTTGCACAGAAGAGGCCTGGAAACTTTATGGGCTGCAAAAACAACAACAGTCAATTGTGTGAGGTGGTAGCCGGAAGAGTTAATTTAATCTTGGATGATTTTGGTAGAAACAAAACCAATAGTAAATGGCAGCCCCAGAATTTTAGTCTGGGTATTCAGAAATAGAAATATTGTTCCCAGAATTTGAACAAGTGTCAAATGAGATTATATCTGTAAAGCATTTAGCAAATGACCTGGCACATTACAGTAGGTGCCTAATACTTGCTTATTCCCTTCCCACTCCTCATCCCTAGTCCAGAACAAGGGAGATATTAGTCTTAGCCTACTCTGCCCTAGTCAGAACTCACCTGGAGTACATCACCTTTTAGGAAGGTCATTGACAGTGTGCCCTGTAGTGTAGATGTAGATCAAGAGCTGGCCTTGGAGCTGGGAAGGCTAGAGCCTAAAGTCCTGCCTCTGACTCATACTGGCTATGACCCCAGACAAGTCATAGTAGGTTGCTATAGGCATCTCTAAGCCTCTGAGATACATAGATGGTCTCAACTCTGATCGAACCAGGTAGTGTCCGGATCTAGGTGTTCACTATGCCAATGCATCACAAATCCCATCCCTATGCCTATTCACTGACAAAACAGCACATTAAGAAAATGAGTAACCTGGAAGGAAATGAGCCTTCCTAATTGGCTGAAGGAAGTAGAGAGAGATGTTAGGCTGAAGAAAAACAATTAGGGTACACAGGACAGGTAGCTCTGCCCTAGGTGTTAGTCTTCTTCCCCCTGCCCAATTCCTCCTTCTTAGCTTCTCTTCCCTGAGGATTTAGAGGGATATAGGATCTTAGACATCTATCATGTCTTACTTTTCAGGTACAGAAGCTGAGGCCTGAAAGCGGAATTGATTTGCTTTAGGTCACACACCTAATAAGTAGAAGAATCAGAATTTGAACCTATTTCCCCTGATTACAATTCCATAGCACTCAATGGTACCACTATGTTCCTGTTTCTCTTAAATCCACTCCTGCCATACCACTCCCACGTTCCCTGTTAAATTCCATCCAGCCTCTTCCTCGCTCTCTCCAATTCCCTCCTAAATTCCCTTCATCCTCCTTTCTGAAGATCCCCCCTCCCCACACTCATCCCCCTCTACCCACCTCCCCATTCCCACCAAATATGAAGACCAGAGACATTGATTGACACCGGAAGTTGGATGTAATTGCATCCTTGAGGCAGGCACAGGGCAGAAAGGACACTGAGCAGAGCAGACCCCTGAGATCTGGAGGTCATCTGGTTGTACACTGACCCACCTTCTCTTTCTCTCCCTCTCTCTTCCTCAGTCATCTGGAACAACACTTTTTCCACGTAAAGGGCATCTCGGTAAATTTAGTTCATAGTGTGGCTGCATTCCAAAGGGGGTGCAGCAGGGAGTGGGGCAGGTCCGGGGGCAAGGGCAAGAGTAAGGGAGGGTCATTCCTGTTAGGATGCCTGTGACTCCCTCAGCTTCTCCACAGCCCTGTCCACATCACCCTCTGAGGCAATGAGGGCCTGGAGGTTGGCCTCTGGGTTGAGAAAACCTATGGCTTGCAGCTGTTCCAGCTGGAGCTGGAACTGGGCCTCAGGCTGCTGCAATGGTGATGAGTGCAGCTGGGGGCTGGTGTTGGTCAGGAACATCTGGAGGAAGGGGGTAGACTGAGGTTCTACCCCAGCCAAGCCTCGACCAGGGACACAGTTCGGGCAGCTATTTCTGGGGGCTCCTCTGGGTTTGCCACTGATGTTGGATGGTTTAGGGGAAAGGTGCCCATCTCAGCCTCAGCAATGACTGATGGGATCCCCAGGACTCCCAGGGAAGGTATGAACCAGAGCAGGAGACGGGGAGCCTCGGTGGCCAATGTTTGTAGGCCATTCTCAATTTGCAAGAGGGCCTGTAAGGCGCGAGGGTTTGCCATAGCTGCTTGGAGGTGGACAAGCAGTGGAAGCTGACTTTGCATCTCCTCCTGAAATCGTAGGGCACCCCGAGAGGAGGTGTCCAAGGTGACTGGTCGTGGGGGCCTCACATAGGTTGGCGTAGCCAGCCATGCAGGCTCTGGTGCCTGGGGGGCTCCAGCGAGTGGGGCTGGGGATGAGGTCATAAAGCCATCCCCACTGGTGGCTGTCAGACCTGACACTAGATTGGGCATGTTGGTGCTATGGCCCTTGGGGCCTACACTAACATTTTCCTCCTTATCCCTATTGGAGCGGCTAGTTGTAGAGGGTCTCAGAAATGCAGGGCAGGTGGACTTGGCTTTGACTGCAAGAGGCTCTTTGTGTAAGGACTGTCTGGTCCCAGACTGCTGGGCTGGGGGTACTGTGGGGGACACATGGCCACCTGATAGAGTTGTTGGACCAGGCTCTTGATCAAGACCCAGAAGGGATGGCGGCCTCTGCAAGTAAGCACCCAGGCCCTGTGGGGTATCAGGGACCTGCTGTAGGTAGCCTGCTAGCCCTATGCTTGGGAAGCCAGGAGACCCTTCTTGGGAGTTTGATCTGAGTGTGACATGCCTGGAATCCTGGCCCCCATGCTGCCACTCCCATCCTCCAGCTGTGATCCCATATTGGCTGGCCCAGGGATTGGGGAGGGGGTCACAGTTCTCAGTCCGAGAGGGCTGACTACATCCTGAACTGTTGGTACTGGAGGTGGCGGCAGCAGCTGCAAAGGGGTTCCCACCGAACTGCTCCTGCACTGCATTTAGCATAGGGTCCATGACATCGGTGTACATGGTCCGCAAGGCATTATAACCACCAGGGATGCTCTCCAGGTAACTGAGTGCCCTGTCTTGGCTCCGCATCATTTCCTGCATCATGGCTGGGTTACGCAGTAATTCTAGGGTCTGGCGTATGATTTCTGGGTTGTTGAGGATATGACCAATCTCTGGGTTATGCTGGATCAGTTGCTGCATGTAGGGATTGTCATGGACCAGCTGATGGACCAGGCCCGTATTGGAGAGGAGGCCCTGGATGAAGGGGTCATCGATAATCTGGGCCACCAGCTCGGGCACAGAAATGTGGTGCCACAGCTGGCTCTGCAGGTCAGGAAAGCTGCCAGACGTGAGACCCATTCCACTGAGCCCCTTGAGGACACCCAGAGTGAAGGAGTGTGCTCCGCCAGGGTGGACTGGGACTGGTGGTGGGGATGGAGGGGGTGGAGGCGATGGGGCTAGCTGGCCAGGGGCCAGGCATTCTGGTCCCCCACCCCGCTTCTGCATCTTGATGACTAGGTGTATGGTGAGCCCATCATGAATGCCACACTGGACCAGGGAGTCTGGGTCCTTGAGGATCTTTCCAGCAAAGATAAGGACCAGTTGGTCAGGGTGAGCCTTGAAATGCTGAGAGATCTCCTTCTTCAGCTGCTGGATGGTGCAAGTGTCCTGTACTGCAAACTCCTCCTTGTCCTTGGGAGTCTTCACTGTCACCTTGATGATGTGGGGGTCCGAGGTGGAGGCAGGGCTGGCTCGGGGTGGGACCTCTCCGCTCTTGGCCATGGTGGGCAGAAGGGCTGGGTCGGTGGGGACGCAGCTGAGGGTGGGGAGATGTGGCCTTAGGGTCTGGGCCAGGGGAGGGGTAAACTTGCAAGGAATTGCCTTGAGAGAGTAGGGGGTCCAGCACACACAACTAAATGACAGAATGCCTTCCCTTTGGGAGGTCTCCATTACTCTCTAATGGGCTTCCTACCTGCATGGAGTTGATTCTTTGTAGGGCCATGGAGGGGCCGCAAGGGAGAAGGGGACTTTGGAGAGTCAATGAGGGACTAAGTGGTTGTGGGAATTAGAGGGGAACAGGGGTGGGATTAGCCCAAGGTGGGAAAAGGAGTGAAGATGACAAAGGCCTAGAGCCCTGCTCACAAAGAAACAGAGCTCCCAGCCTGGGTGCACGTACCAGCCAGCCGCAGCCCCAGCCCCGTCCTTCCTTTCAGACAAGCCTCCCTGTGTCCCTCATCCTCCCCTAGCCTGGGATGGATGCCTTCTGGGCTGGAACCCATCCTCCTGCTCTAGCCTATTGTCTGTGATCTCAATGCTGACATCACAGCCACATAACTTCTTGGGGAAGTCTTGGAGCTCTAGAAGTTCCCCTCAACCATTCTGTCTCCAGGGTTCTTCTCCCCAACAACAGACCATGAAACTGCTCCTCCTCGCCACAGGCATGCTCCTCACAGTCCTCCAAGGCTCCCAGATGTCCAAGGCCCCAGAGAAAAGTGTAGACCTCATGAACCATGGCCAGAGCTAGAGAAGAGAACATCTTACTCCCAGCTCATAGTTCACCCATAGCCTAGTTCAGGGGTGGAGAATCTGCCACCTGGAGGCCACTTTGACTGAATCCAAACTTCAGTGTGTAGTTTGGATGCAGTCAAGGGCCCCACTTGAGGACCTAGGGGGCCACATGTGGCCTGGAGGCGCAGGTTCCCCACCCCTGTCTAGTTCCTTGGGGTGGGGGGAGTGTCTTGTGAAGAAATAAGATCCCAGGAAAGAAAGGAGACTGATTAGTCTACCCTGCATGGAGAGAGGAAAGGAGGTTGGTCATCTACTGTTTTTTACCCATATTCCTTTACTAAGCATTTGTCAAAGGAAAAAAAAATATTCTTCACAATTAGTGCTGATATGTCAAGGATGCTAAGTGGTTTCCTGTTCAGTTATGGGTTTCAGTAGAAGACATCTGAAGTACTGTTTAACCCTGAGATTTTGGGGATCTGTCCTTCTATATTTCTTGAACTTCCATTCTGTATTTCTGGGCCAGTAAATGTGGACCAAATTTGAAAATGGAAAGAGGAAAAGGAAGAAACATTGAATAGGAAGATGAATGTTGAGCAAAAGAAAGGTTCTCAACTGTTCTCTCTTTCTCCAGGCTTTCCCCCTTCCAGTCTAGCCTATACAGTACAGCAATTTAATCTTTCTGACACTCAATATGTATCACATTGAACCAGTATGGTGTAGTAGATAGAACTCTAAACTTAGAGTCTAGAAGACCTACGTTCAAATCTTGACTCAGAGTAGTACTAACTATGTGACCGTAAGCAAGTCACTTATCTGGGCCTCATAGTCCTCATCTACAAAATGAGGACTTGTCCTCTGAAGTTCCTTCCTGCTTAAAAATCTATGCTCCTAAGAACATAGGCCTTCCTGTCCCCACTGAAACCCTTAAATGGTTTCCCATTGCCAAAAAAGATAAAATCCGAATCTTTAGTCCAGTATTCAAGCCTCTTCAACTCAATTCAACAAATGCCTGTCTAGTACCCACTATGTATAGTGTCTTACCTGTGGGGGTGGAAGGAAGGCAAATTTAGAATAAGCACAAACCTTGGATTCATGGAGCACTGAGTCTAGTAAGTGTGTAAGACGCACTCATTGATTACTATACACAATAATATATAATAGATACATTAAGGAGTTGCCAGACAAAATAGTAGGAGGAAAGTGGTTACTAAGTGGGGAATGAAGGAAGGAGTTCCAAGGGAAGTAACATTTGAATTTGGCATTAAAGGGTTGTTAAGAATTCAATAGAGAGAAAAATCAAGGGAGGACAATCCAAGCCAAGAAAATAGTAAATAAAAGTGGAGGGGATTGGGGAGGCACAGGGTATATTTTATAAGCAGAGAACAATCTAGTTTGGCTCAGGGGATTAGAGTAATATGAGAAAAGAATGGAAAGGTTAGGTTTGGGCCTGATGGTGGAAGACCTTTAATTTCAGGCTAATAAGTATAGATTTTGCTAGATAGGTGATAAGGATCCACCTAAAATTTTATTTTATTTATAGCTTTTATTTTCACATCAACCTTCATCTTATAATATATCTGTTCCCTTCTCCTACTCAGAGAACCCATACCTTATAATGAACTGGAAAAAATAAAGAGAAGAAACAGTAGTTCACTCAAACTATTCAACACGTGGGGCGAAGCTTTGCAGATCTTAAAAGGACTATATAAATACAAACTTCTTATTACTAATATTGAAGTGTTTGAGTTGACAGGACTCATTACCGACTGGATATGAGAGGGGAGGGAGAGTCAAAGATACCACCAATGTTTTGAACTTAATAAACTGCATATATCTTGCATGTATCTAGATATTTACGTGTTGTCTTCCCACCTCTAACTCCCAATTAGAATGTATACTCCTTAGGCTCAGGAACTCTTTTTGCTTTACTTTGTTTATGTACAGTGCTTAGCATAGTATGTAGCACATAAGTAAGGACTTTTAAATGCTTGCTGACTATCTGAATAAATCAGGGTCATAGGATAATGTTCTGGCCTAGACAGGGACCTGAAAGGTCACCTAAACCAACCTTTTCATTGTACAGATGAAGGAACATGAAGCCAAGAGAAGTGATTTGCCTAAGATTATGCAAGTAAGTGATGACTGGGGGCTATGGACAAAAATTGTGAAGTCAGGAGATTAAAGACAGAAGACATGCATAAAATGGGAGTGACCTGTAAATATAATGTAAACATACACACACACACACACACACACACACACACACACACACACAGAGACACAATAAAACTTTGGAAGGTAGCGAGTTTGAAGTTTCAGTGGGACAACCAGGTAGAGTTGTGCTATAGGCAGTTATAATAGGAAACATGATTTAGTATATAAGGAGTGGCAAGCTTGCAAATCAGAAGCCACAGCTATAATTATTCTTAGCTAGATGATTCTGAGCCTCAATGTCCTCATCTGCAAAATGAGGTATCCTGTAGTACGAGCTTCATAGGGCTATTTGAAAAGGAGGCATAGCTTAAATTTTAAGCTTTGATTTATGATTTAATTTATGATTTAAGCTTCAATCATCAATATAAATAAATATCTATGTGGATTGAGAAATTATTATAGTATTTATGGTCATTTTGGCCAGGAGTTTGGAAATAGGAGTTAAAGTTAAAGAAATACGTCTGGGTGTTATCAGTAGAGTTTAGTTGAAGTAAATGAGATTGCCAAGAAAGAGAATGTAGAGAAAGAAGAGAAGAGGGCCAATAATAGACTTCTGTGGAATTCCCCTATTACAGAGTCAGAAAGAAAAAACATAGGATTATAGATTTAAAACAGGAGGAGACCACGGAAGTCATCCAGTTTAACATCATTTCTTTACAGATAAGGAAACAGCAGCCTGGGGAGATGATGTGACTTCCCATCCCAAAGGTGGCACAGGTAGTAAGTGGAATAGTAGGATTTAAGCCAGGCTTCTCTGAGTCCAATTCCAGGGTTATTCCCAATCTTATCATGCTCCCTCATCAAAGACAGATGAAGACATGTTTGTGGAGAGGACAAAGGAAAGAAATTTCCCACCAACTGCACTCAGGCTGGACTCCATCATAATCGTGTTCCTAGGAAATCTTATCACCAGCAAATTCATCATCCTCTGAGATTGCATCCACTTTTCCTGTCTCATCCGTAGTCTCAGGGCCCACTTCCCCTCCTGTGGGAGGGCTGGAAGGCAGAACAAAGTACCTCTTCAGAAGCTCTTGTGTAAAGAGATCTCCTAGGCCAGCCACTTCTTCATTTTCCACCACCTGCACTTTTTGGAGTGGATTCTTTCTCAGCTTCCCCCAACCCCTTTTCAGCTTCCTTTGGTGGTTATCTTCCCCCATTGGGTGTTTACCTCAAGCATGTCTTTCCCTGTGGAATGGGCAGATGAGAACAATTTGTTCCATTGGCCTTGAAGGCATCTGAAGCAGGTGCTGTGGAGCACTTAGAAGTTGGTCAAACAATGAAGATGTTAAGGTCATTCACTGCATCCTGAGCCATCACCAGTCATCCTGATTTTTGTCTTGTCACTGGACTTCAATGATTCTGGAAGACAAAGTGAGGCTGCTTCATTTAAATCCAATTTACTCACGAGTCAAGACATCAACCTGTGATGTCACTTATCCTCTTCAAAAAGAAGGACAAATAACAACATCTTCCCTCGTTAGATTATAAGTTCCTTGAAGGAAATGGCTTTTTTTTTCTTATATCAATTAGTAAATTTATTAAGCTAGCTGGGGATGCAAAAAGAAGCCAAAAAACAGTTCCTGCCCTCAGGGAGTCTATAGCCTAATGAAGGGGGAGACAAAATGCAAACAAATATATACAAAGCAAGCTATATATAGGATAAATAGGACATAATTAGCAGAAGGAAAGCAATGGAATTAAGAGGAGTTGGAGAAGGTTTTCTGGGGAAAGTGGCATTTCAGTTGAGACATAAAAGAAACCTGGGAGGTCAGTAGTTAAAGACAGGGAGAAAGGAAGAGGGGACAGCCCAGGAAAATGCTTGGGGTACAGAGATGAAATGTTTGTGGAAGAGCCAAGAGGCAGCTGCCATTGGATAGAAGAGTATCTTTTGGGGAATTAACTGTAAGATTTGAAATGTAGGTAGGACAGGGTTAGGTTATGAAGGACTTTGAATACCAAACAGAGCATTTTGTATTTGATCCTGAAAGCAATAGGAAGCCACCAGAGTTTATTGGGGCAGCTAGGTGGCACAGTAGATAGAATTCTGACTCAAAAGTTAGGAAGACCTGAGTTCACATCTGGCCTCAGACCTTTACTAGCTGTGTGACCCTGGGCAAGCTACTTAACTCTGTTTACCTCAGTTCTTTCATCTGTAAAATGAGCTGGAGAAGAAAATAACAAACCACTCCAGTTCTCTTTGCTGAGAAAACTCCAAATGGGGTCACAAAGAGTAGGATGTGTAAACTGAGGCACAAACCCTATGGAACCTGGATCCTTCTTTCCCAAAGGGAAGAAAACTGGAGGGAGACAGTGCCTGTAAAAGTCAAGAATGATCTTTATTTAGCAGGTACAAACATTACACGATCATGTGGAGCAGACAGCCTAGTGATGAAACAATTCAATTTGGAAGAGCATGTGGAGGGGTTTTATATTATTTTCAGATGAAGGGAGGTGGGAAATGGGCTGTTATGGACTGAGAGTTCCAGGCATGAGGGAGGCAAAGGGAGAGGGGCAATGACTTCTTGGTACGTTGAAATAAGTATAGTGATGCAGAGAGTCCAAGGCTTGAGTATA